ATCACTCATCTATTTTCTCTACCGTTCGCTCTACCGGTGGCAAACATACCTGAACAGCGCCTCCTATAAAGCAAAGAAGTGGGAAACGTCAGTCCTTGGAAGCTCAAGTTCTCTTTAGAATTTAGTGGCCCTCTACTGAAATCGCCTTCACGTTATCCTCACTGACAAATGTGACTGCCCCGAAGTAAGCAAACCAGCCCTTTTGGCGTTTCTGCTGGGGCCGTATGCTGAATGTTGGGGAGGGGATGGGGTCCCCGACGGTCGACGGACTACTTCAACTCGGTCCTTAAAACCGCCTCAATTTGATGCTTACCTCAGGACTAAGCCTTAAAGAGAGGACGGACCTGCGAGAGAGCGCAGGTCCTCTCTCCAAGGCTTAGTCCTGGGTAAGCAAACCAGCCTTTTGGGGAAGCTGCTGGACCAGGCTGTAATACTTCGTCTTCACTCTCCTACCGTACCGACAAGTTCAACTGGTCCGTCGAGCTCGGCTACCCCATTGACTCCCAACATTCAGCATATGGCCAAAAGAAACGCCAAAAGGGCTGGTTTGCTTACCTCTGCTGCCCCTCGATTGCACCTTCGTTCAGTTGGTGGAGTCGTGTGACGAACAATAAGAAAACCCAAAAAACTCGTCCAAATTCGAGAACTGTAACAAATGTTAGCAGCAAGACGTTTCAACGCGTTTTTTAACCCATAACGGACGGCGTGCGCCACATGGTGGCGCACGATTATTTCCTTTTTTTTGGAATGTTTCTAGCAATCTTAATATACCCGTATATACTCTCAGCAATGTGGAATAACATATCTTCCCAGGACCTGGATTGACAAACCTACAATAAATTTTACATACATTTTGTCTTAATTTACATAAGTTTACTATTTGATGGGTGGCTTACCCATGGTTCGCACGTCCCGAGACCCCTTCCCCTAAATATAGCCACATCCTTGCTCGGGGTTGTTGTTTCGCATTTTTCGATAATGTCACCTACAGCTTCCATTCATTCTTTGCACCCTAGTTTTAGAGCGGAAAGGCGGGTTACGAACTTGTCGTCAACGGAAATCTCTTCTTTTGGATGATGAGACACGGACACCTACTTTAGCCCCGTCTTACCCCTGCTGTTCGCATAAGCCTACATAAACCCTACCCTGGGTGGCGGCGTGCGCCACATGGTGGCGCACGCAAAAAATACACTGGCCGTCCGTTATGGGTTAAAGATGTTATCACTACGAATTCTTCTTGAATTATGGGAAGGACCTTTTTTCCCTATACTGTGTCCTAATCTATCGCGCCAAAACGTTCGGTCGTCTCTCTATAAATTCTGAAGGTTGAATTGGATTCTTCATGCCACGTGGCTGCCCGCATTTCGCCCCTTGGCTTTACCCGACTGTCTGTCTGTGCCCAAAATGTGTGGTTTTTGAAGGTTTGCCCTTTTTAAAAGGGACTTTTCATGTATGAAACGTTGTATGATGCAACACAGCTACTTGAAGTTTGTCTCAAGAGTCTCTGTAACATTTCCCGGTGTCATCCCACTCCAATCATACGAAAATCATTTTTTGATGTGCGGGGGTGTCATCAAAGCCGATGTCACCCTCTTCAAACTTGACAAACCACTTTCGAGCTGTTGATTCGCCAATGTCATTCTCGCTGTACACAGCGGGAATGTCCCAATCCTTCAGATGGTTTCTTCGCCTTCACGAGAATCAAACAAAAATGACAGATGCCGAAAATGATACATTTTATCTACATCTAAGATTACTGGCGCTATCGCAAGATACGGGGGCAATATTGTGGAATGTATTTGAAACCACGTAATATGACACATATCCTTTTGTTATGAACTTTAAAAGCCTCAGGCAGAGAGGTGAGACTACAGGGCACATTAGCAATTTTCATTTCCTCCAAAGTTCCTGCACTCTCAGGCTTATTCCTAGAGAAGTCCCGCATCTTGCGATAGCGCCCCATTATTTGCCAAGTCAGGAAAGATACCCATCACAAACGTTCCGGTAATAGAGTAGAAATGCAGCTATCTTTTCTCCCACAAACTCAGCTCATCAATTTTTCAGCCGAATTCGTCGCTCGCGGTTGCGGTGTGTCGCTGCTGACGACCGCCGCAGGTCTACCGAACGAAAGCTGCCACCAGGCGCTGGAGATCTGCCAACGAATCGGTGGAATCGGATTGTGCGAGACTTGCGGTGACAAACACATGTGTAACGCCGTCTCATCCTATATTCTCATCCTCTCATTGGTCTTTATTTTCTTTACTTGTTTATGAAACTTGATTCTGAAGGCTTTGAACGCTACAGAAGTATGGGAGGGCCGATTGTGATGGTCATTATCACCACAGCCTTGCAAGCTCAATCGTATAGACATTGACTAGGGCTGATGAAATGATTGTGAAGTGCGAGTCTCGATTTAGCCTCGGAGTATTTGAGCAAAGGATCGTAAGACTGACGGTATCACATCACATGGATACCAGACGGAAGCAAACACAAACTCCGAGCGAAAATTTTGCGAATTCCGAAGAAACCTTA